ACTGGTTGTCGACGCGTTTTTATGCATAGTTTGTGGTTTTCGTATTTGGTAACTCGCTGTTTGGCTAGGGTCGTAAAAGAATGAAGTGATTCTAGTTTTGTTTTAACAACATATGTTGTTGATAGGAGCAACTGTTGCAGTCAGCTGGCTGTTAAGGCTCACTATGAGGCAGACAGATCAGTTTTAATGGCAGAACAGGTAATCTGTCTCACCTTATCCTCTTATCTCACGACCTGAAAATGGTCCCAATAGACCGAATGGGCTAATCCAAGAAATAATCCAATTCACGTCCTTACCGATATCTTCATCACATTTTTATGAACAAAAGGGTGTTATAAACTGATTACCTTGGGTACAGTTCTTCCTCTTCGACACCAAATAAAATTCAGTGAATAAGTAGTTGTGGAAAGGTAAAACTGATATTCATTTACCCAGCAAACGTCTTAAGTCATCAGTTACCGCGTAATCTAGCTTCACTTGCTTCTGCGACTTAGCATGATGCATTAACCCTGCGCGATTAAAATAGAAGCGTAAACTAGTTGCAGGTGATTTTGACATGTCCGTTTAACCGTAATCTTGTAATTATGCAGTTTGGTTGTTAATTAGCGTAATTTCACATTATGCAAAAGTGCTATTAGTCGGCTCTAAGAGGCTATGAAATTTACATTCTGCACCGGTGGAATGCTCCAAGTCTTTAGTAAAAGTATTTATGCACACATTGAGGAAAAATACGGCATGCATTAGCGTGACGAGCATATGTGGCTGAAGCGCATCACGAGAGCTCCAGGTCTCCTCCTCATTCGCTATAAGGAAAGGTCTAGAAACGATTGGGCCCGTCATCGCTCGATTGAGCGCCCTTGTCATCGAGTCATCGATTGTTGTCTTACTCTCTGGTACAGATTGCATTGATCGAACATTTTACTAAAAGGGATGTTCCAAAGAAGAAGGTGAAATTTGGAATAGTGCGTTATGGCTTGTGTTTATAAATTAGTAGGCACTTGTTCGATTTTGGTAGCGTTACCTTGTCTATAAGTTAACTGTAAGCTGAATTCCAAAATGTTCCGGTTTCATGCTTCACTAAAACACGATGTGCGTTTGCCTGAATTTGTTCTAATCTCTGCACACAGGCGAGCATGACGGTTGCTGGATCAAGGAAGCCAACGCAGCCAGTGGGCCTATTCAGCCAGTGATTACGGAGATAATGCAACAGCGCGAGGTAAGTTCTTATTACTAAACTGGCCCTCTAGTACCCTTTCTGCCAGTGCTAGCTGTTACCAGCTCTTGTCGCCTGCGGGTCCTTGTTCCTGTAATTCAATGCAACGCGCTTTGTGTCACCTGTACTACTCTCTACAGTTTATAATACCCTTTCACGCAGGAATTCCGAGGACTTGGGATCTTCCAGCGTTTAGTGGGGTCATCAACCGATTTACGAATCACCCAGTGTAGGCACCTCCTAATTCTTCTGCCGTCACTTTACGGCAGCAATCGGCCGATTCTGGTCGCATTTGGCGCGCAACAGCGCGGTGCCAGAGCCGATTCTGTGCAGAGTTGGCCTAACGAGCTGCGGGAAACAGCGCACTGCCTCTGAGCGGCGCTCTGACCGGCCGGTGTAAAGGTCATAATTGGAGCGGGGCGCGCACCGCCGGGACCGGGGCGCACTTCTGTCCTAATGACGCCGCTCGGCAGGGAGGGCAGCCGCCCAGAGACCGGTAACAATGGGCCGAGCGGGCGCCGAGGCCCGCCCCCACCGGCCCCCGCGCTGCCGACTGCGAGCGGCCACCGCCGCTGATTGATTTATAAAGTGCGTGAGCCTAATCGGGGATTTAGACCGGCGATCGTTTTTAGGGAACAAAGATAGGCGTGAAATGAAAATGACTTGAAGAACTGTGAAAAAGGAAAGGAATTTTCCGTTTCGATCGCTAAAAAACTCATTTGCTAAGACAATGCCTGACATTGGTCTTGGGCGTCGTTACTTCCGCTTTCTATAGTTGGGCTTGAGTCTACAGGCGAAAGTAGCTTGGTTGGGCTTGATCGTGCCAGCAATGGGCCAAAACAGTTTTTTCATGAATGCCCAGATATCGAGCGTTGGACAAATAAACCTTGATTCCTATGACAAACAGCTAGATCCCCTCTGTCCTAGTTTCGACAATTTCAACCTGCAATTTTAACATTCCAACCACAATCATTATAATGATAAGCCAATAATAATGAAGAATCCATCGTTGAATGGTGGCCGTTTAGCGGACAATTAACCATCCCCGTACAGCTGTATCCTCGGCCGGCGGAGCAGAGCATTGCGGTCATTACGACACGGGGCGGAGCGTCGCCGCGGTACCGCGGAATCCGCGACGGCTCATTAGGCATATCCGGCTGGAGGTGGCATAGAGGACGCCGGCTGGAAGTGGCAGAGAGGGACCGGGACGGACGCTGGAGGTGGCAGAGGTCCCCGGCTGGAGGTGGCAGAGGACCCCGGCTGGAGGTGGCAGAGAGGAATTAGGACAGGCACTGGAGGTGGCAGAGTAGAATAAAGACGGCGCCGGAGATGACGGGAGGACCCATGGACTGGGGCTGGGCTGGCAGAGGACCGCGCCGGTCGCCTAGCTGAGATGATAGGTTCTATTAGCGACTCGATTTGACTAGGGCTCAGAAAGGCACATTATTTACGCGTAAGCGAGAGACAAGGGTAGCTAATTCTCATAAAGAGAAGCACAGCAGCGAGAATGCGCCGGTCACGAGGCTATCGTCAATTCCTTACAAGGAAACCTGTTCGAGACTCGACCTTGACCGTGCGTGGAATACCTTCGGTGTTAGGAAATCCCCTTAACCTTTATCGGGGACAGTGATATATACCTACTTGGAGGACAAATCCTCCCTTTTAGACATACATCACCAAAACAGCAAAAGCGCAGGAAATATGCGAGCAAAGCTGTCGTAGATTGCCCATTCACCGCTATCTGATCCTTCTCGTCCGTGAACGAGATGTCACCGCGAGTCAGGTGACGTTCCACGTCCCGCATTGTTCCACTTTCAGCGGTGCAGATCGGGCCGCAGACCGAGACATTTGAATGAGACGGGCGGAAACTGGGACGGTGTTTGCTTCCGCCGTCCACATGAAGCCGCGGGATTTCAGCAGGGAACCGCTATCTGGGACGATGAACAGAAGCTCGGTCTCGAATCTAAACTGATTGTTCAAGATCGAAACGTGAACCTCAACTCATCTAGCGTGAGCCCTGGCCGAGTTTCCATCGGATGACGTTGTCACGAGGTCAGACCGGAGCTGAATGGATGGCTGCTTCAACTAACGAGAACCACACCCAAACGTAACCAACATCTCCAACGTCTTCTTCAAACAGTTCCTCCTCAGCTACCTCTAACCACATCCAGCCTCCGCTCTCGTCCAGTGCCCATCGACCACCGCCCAAAGCCACCCAGGGACCATAGCGTCGGCCGGATCTGCGGACTGGGACGAGGGCAGGGCTGGCGGCGGCGTGGCGCGAGCGGCCAGCCGGCGCCCGGCGCATTCCAGTCGGCTTACCAGGGTGCCGGCCGAGGTGGCGGACGGGCCTAATCGCCGTCCGACCTCCGCTGACGCCCACCGACCCGACGGGCGGCCGGCAGGGCGGCGGGCGTCGCGAACGGCGCGACAGGGTCACAGGCGGCGGGGCAGGGTCGCAGAACAGGGGAGTGGTCCCAGACTACAGGGTGTGGTTACACCGAAAGCAGAGCAGTGTTCCCAGTCAGTGACAGCCAGCACAGTCCTGCTCTCCAATGACATGAGTAGCTGAAGCTGCCCTAGCTCTCCGCTGAGGCCGGCGAGTGACTTTCAAGGATGGTCACTTCCCCCGACGTTGTAGACAATCAAGGCAGGATGGTTTCGTTTTCAAACGCTCTTTCCGCGGCTACTCACCCAACATACCCTCTCCAACAACGAAAGCTGCTTCGGCAGCAGTCTCCACGTTTACCATAGACCACACCAGTTGGCACCCCAACCTGGTCTTCCCTGCCATCTCTGTACCGCCCCGGAGTCCAGTCTCGCCGCTCCCCTACCTGCCCTCCACCCCTCCCTCCTCGCCGTCCCGATCACCTGCCTGGCCGGCCGGACAGCCGACTACAGCGGTATCAGATGTCGGCCCGATATACCCAGTCCGGGCCGATCTGGGGACTCCGAACTGCCCGACCGACCTCCGCGTCCCGACTGCGGACCGGACCGGCCGACCGGACGGGACCGATTGGGTCTCCCAAGGCGCCGTGTGGTCCGTCAAGGTTTGTTCGGACTCCATTAGCGGACGGTATGGATTTGCTGCGTCTGGTCGGGCTTGGTAGAGCTCAGCTGAGGTGTGATCGGGCGTTAGTTGGGGCGCTCAGTCAGCCCATGGAAACTGTTAGGGCTTATGCGGCCTCACACCATCCCGACCGAGCTTTGGTCGGGCTTCGGTTGGCCCCTCTCGCGCGGGCCGGTCGGTGCCGGCAGGAGCAGCAGGCAGTCCCGGAGAGCTGATATATGGAGACGCCGTATATGGAGGAGCGAAACGGACCGAGATGACGCGCGCCTCTCATTCAAATGCGCAGCAAAATGGGCCGGAATGGGCCAATATGCTAATGGAAAACGTCATCTCAGCGTTTTACCGTGATCTGAAAGCAGATGTCTTCAATCGACTGGGATCGATGTTTGGCTGGAGGTCTGAACAAAAAGGACAAGCAATCGTGCTGTTATCTCTCCCGTGAGCGTGTTTACATGGTCGGGTTCGGGCGATGCGGACCTGATGGGATCGAAGGTCTTATTGGGAGAGCGTCAGGGAACGAGATACATCGAACAGGTGGCATGCTCAATGTTCACGCTCGCCATCCCATGGTTCAGCGCTAGTTTAATGGCGTTCACTGTTCACATACCACACTACAAAGCACGCAAACAGCTCTTCTGTCTTCTCGAAATTCGAATACACGGGTGAGACAGACCTATACCTTTCCCGGCTTTCCCAGACTCCCAGTTTGGTACTCACCATGAAACTCGGCGGCGGTCGGGGTCGGCCGGTGTGTGCTGCGCCGGGGAGCGACAGGGCACGTCCCGTGGTCTCCTGAGCTGAACACAGTCCGGCGAGACGCTGCTCGTCGGCGGGGCGGCGCGGTACGGGCGGTCCCAACTCGCGGCGGACAGCGGCGCGACTGGTCCGGGCAGCGGCCGCCGGCCCGGCCGGCCGGCACATAGCTCTCGCAGCGGGAGGCGGTCGGCCGGCCGGCGCGCGCTCCCGCCGCCGGCCCACAGGTGGCAGTGTGATCGCCGGCCGCCGGACCCTCATGTCCGCCGCCGAACAATGATTTGTTTACAACTTACAACCCAGTTGGCCATTATCTGATCAGAGGAAGGTGGGAAATTTTTATTATCAGCGGATTGAAACGGTCCAGTAATTAAGAGGACTGAGAGCTGGTGGCGGCGGAGGCTGCGGTGGCCGGCGGCCGGTGGCGGCGCGCGGGGCGGGGTCGGGGCGGGCCGGCGCACTTCTGGTCGGGTACCCGGTCATTAGTGACACGGCCAGTCCATAATTAGGGCGGGCTCTGCTCACCGCACCGAGCGTGATGGAGGAAGTGGCTGATGGCGGTCCGCCAGGCTCCTCCTGTTCTCGTCACTCGGTCAGCTCGGCGCTCAGTGGAGGATCGGCTCCAATCTAAGGTAGCAGACAAGACGGTTCTTCGTGAGTGCCACCGAAAAATTGATTTGCTCATTAGTGACTCTGATAGTTTTTGGTATCTCTACACTGTCAACAACTGAAGATTAGCCTCTTTGGTTATTTGATGTTTATTTTGAGACTTCAAACATCTACAGGCCAGTGACCCGTCATGTCCAGGTGGGTCAAGTCGAGTTCAAGCGATAAATAAGTAGCTTGTGACATGGTGTGCATTTCTGTTGGTAATAATATATGATGCATGGAAACCATCACAATTCATTTATCCTACGGCAAATAGGTACGACTGGTAATGAACGACAGCTAGCAGAGCATATGCATTAGGCTTCTGTTTACGTTTTGGTCTGGTCGGAGTGAACAATGTCGCAACAAAGCGCTCCGCCGCTTTGTTTGTCCGCTCGACATACGTAGTTTACCGTCATTTTCAACTGTTTGCCTTCGTTCTGTTTGCCTGTTTGCCAAACTTCATCCTGGCCACTTCTGCAGCGTCCATCGTACACCCCCACATAACTATATCGTACATATCCACAAATTGATTGTGACAACTACTGTCTGATTGTGCCGTTGATTTAGGCTGCGCCAAACAATGTGATGATTCATGCAGATTCTATGTTATTATTTTGTATATTGTATATTGATCTTGTGTGTTGTATATTGTACATGTATCGTAGATATCATGGACGGCGCATCGTTATTTCGAGAGCCATGTATATATGAAATTATTCTCTCATCAAGGAGCTGATTGAAGCGCTGCACGATTTATTGATTGATGGAATCGAATTTTGTTTGTTTGTGTCGACAATTGTTTCTGTACATTCTGAAGATGGCGCAAGCCGAAATATATCAATGATTTTGTTTAATTATTCAATTTCAACAAAAAAGTGCAAAGAATGAGCATAAGGTTATTTATACATACTTTTCTGTTTGCCTTCGAGCTATAAACTGGATGAATTATATAACGGACGGCTGACGAGCCCACGCAGGCGACATTCGCCGTGTCAGTGCCCCATCGGCCGTCGAGAGGTCACTACGGGTCATTTTGGCTAACTGGATCAATGGGTGTCAGTAGGTATTTCAGATGCGCAAACAGAACATGCTTATTGCTTACCTTTAAGTATTGGCTACTGTCTGCTCTGACCGTCTTATTTCCAACTTCCAGATGAGTAGCGATTCATGTCATAATACTGAAAGCTCGTGGATTAGACACATTTGTTCTCAGCGGGAGGCATAAACGCGTTTCCTCATTGTTTATTGAATTGTTAAATTTGACCCGACCCAGGTCACATAAAATATGATGTATTTAAATTAGTGGCGCTGGAATACTTGCTAAATTTTGATATTAAAAACTTTTGAAAATCATACGTACCTAAGGACCATACGATCGTCAAAATATTTGAAGGAAGGCCCCGGGTGCATGAGGGAGACGTTTTTTGCCACGCTCCAGTTTTTTTTTTTTGCATGTGTAAAGGAATCTGCGGCGGGGAAACTTTGTATAGTTTATCATACATCAATTAGCATCGTGTGTAAAGTTTTGATCCCCATTCCCAAGTCACCCAGGTCAGGCCACTACTCACTAGGCTAGATTCGGTAAAAACATTAGGGTATCAATACCAACAATTTGTATATCTAGACATGTTTTTATTTCATATCTGTGACCTGGCGTCAGGTCAGATTTGTGACCTCACCATAATAGGGGAATGGGAAAAAGTACAAATGCATCCAGCTTTGAAGAAACACGTCAAAACTACAAGATACTTGCAGAAACACGACCATTTGACCCATATGCAATATATATGGTGCAGCTCATGGCAGTGGTCACTCAACTGCCATGTTAGGTCGTAAAAGGTCACCATAAGGCATTTTTTATGATAACTTTTGCTTGATACTTGCGACATAATAGAGCGATGAAATCACCTGGAATGTACTTTGGTCATCAATACGGATCGAATGGCATGCAACATATGCTTTTTCAGTCAGGTCGTGACCTTGACCTGAGGTCAAATTTGGAAAATAATTCTTCCGGCAAACGTATTGTTCATTCGATGCATCTCCTTGAGAGAAACACAATGACGGTAAAATAAATTTCTTGTAAGGGAGAACGGGGCAAAGCGGCCACGCCACCCTAATGTTTGCTTCTATGCCGCAGGGCCTCGGCTAACATGTTAACTACTGGGGCAAATGCCCCAGTAGAGTCGAGGAATGCCCCAGTAGTGGTCAGGCTTTGCCCAACCTCCACAAAATGAGAATATATCAATATTAACGTACATTCTTTCATTCGGGAGCGGTTGAAGACGTTTGTGGCAAGAAATCAGGGGCGGCGGAAGAGGGAGTGCACGGTGTGCAGCTGCACCCTCAAGTTCCATCCAAAAACATAGGCGTACAGCCCACCGCTAAAGTAATGTAGGGTTTTACCAATCTCAACGATTGGCTTTGACTGGCGATTGTTTAATGCGGAGTGATCGAAAAGAAGATGTCAATAGCTAAAATTGCAGCTGCAAGGGTGACGACTGACGATACATATAAGCTACATTCAAAGTTTCATTGTAGTCTGACTAATCGTTCCTAAGCTTCAGAAGCAGAACATACCCATGACTGAAACCGCACATTACTTCTGCTGTGGACTGTACATTAGCAAGCATATCTTTTTACACCCCATAATCCATCTTCGTTCGAAAGAGCGTCAAAAATAATGACGAAATTACTTCAGCCACTTTTTTGGTGAGGTCAAAGGTCAGGTCATGGTGAAGGCCAACTTTCGCCGATTTTCAGGTCGAATATCGACAGTTTACAAGATGCCGACGCTTAACTCGGGAACCAATTAGAGCTACAGCACCGCGGAAAAGCGCATTTGATAGCCATATTAGCATGCTTTCTGGTTATTTCTCTTAGATTTGACCTAACGCCAACGGTTTTGCCTGCAAGGGGCAAAAACTACTAAAGACGATTTTGGGGGAACAGTTTTTCTGCAATAACTTTTGACTCATGCTTTGCACGAGCCAAGGCCCAATGCAAGCGCTTTCTTTTATCCGACATCGTGTTCCTCTCGTCAAGACGCATCAAATTAACTACAATTTGACCTTGAAGGTCAACTTGAAAATTCGACCTCAGGTTTAAGTCATGATCTGACCGGAAATTGTCATGTTGCATATCAGTCGATCTGCATCGTCTAACCAAACACATCTAAGGCATTTTCATCGCTCTAGCATGCCTCTTTCAAAAGTTATTCGCGAAAAACTGTTAGATACCATTCGTGAACTGAGATGACCTCAGGGGCATAAAAAAGGGTCACGGGTGCTATTTTCATGTTCAGTGTGTCAAAGTCACGTACAGTGTTTTATAGTGTTTAGAATAACTTTCGTCCAAAAGAGGTGGTTTTGAATTTCTCCCATTGACTTATAATAGATCGGTCGCAAAAGTGAGCTGACCTTAGGTCACCGATATGAAAATTCCGAGATATAAATTTTGTACATGCTGTTGCCCTTATCAATCGCTGAAAGTTTCAAAGCGATCGGTCACTCGGTGTAGCTACGGCATACATGGAAACATTTCATGAGGTGAGGTCACTTGAAGTGACCTGGTAACCTGATCTTGAATGACCTTGGTCTGAGATTTTTACAACAAGTGTAAAATTGATGGGTGATGGAGCGCCGCCGTTTTTTAGATATCCGCGAAAAACCGCAGGAAAAACCGCAGGTGTTCAAACACCTGCGGCCCCCCCCCCCTGCTGGGGGCCCCCCCAGCAGGGCGCCAACACACTTTGACGATTTGCCCCAGTAGTCAAAATTCCTTAGCCGAGGCCCTGCTATGCCGACGCTTCATTCTCAAACTGGAAAGATTCTTCCTTATGTCAAAATTATCCGTATTAAATTGCGTTTCATTTCAACTTCGTTTCATTTCTAAAGGCGTTCACATATAGGAAACATTGGCAAAACTTTACACCTATGCATGTTGGCCACTTCGCCCCAGCCCCCGGGGCAAAGTGGACACGGGCGATTTCTTTGTCCCGGCATGAGAAACAGGGCGCACTAGTAGAGTTGATGATGGAACAGCTTAAAGGTAGTGTGCCAGCTTTCTTGGACCGTATGGAGTTAATGGCCCAGATAAGGAGAACCGGATTTTTAGAACTTATCCATACCTTCAAAACTCATGGAAACGTCTTAAATTCTTCAAATTTTGAGTACCCCAGTGCGAAATTCGCCCCGACGGGTTGTCGGTCGTACCCCAACCACATTTCACACCACTATGAACAATAAATGCACACACTGAAATCGCTATTACCGATATGCTCATCCAATCAAGTTTCGATAAACCCGTTCATCATCATCTCCTGCGGTTTCGAACACGCCTGTTAGGTGGCTTCTGATGCTCGTCGATGTCGGAATTTCCAAATACGCGTGGTGCGTCGGGCCGCGCACTCTGACTTCGGCCAAGAAAAATGCGTCAGCTGATCATTGTCATTTCTGCCACTTGCGTGTGGT